CTTGCAGTTTCCAAAGAGTGGGAAGTCAGAAGAGCATATGATACGAGTGTTTTCCGGATGCAAGCTCTTCTCCCTGGAGGGGGTCCTGAGGCTGCTTGTAGTTGATTGTTTAAATCGCTGCTTCTCTGTTCCAGGTCTGTAATAGATACAATGCAACATGCTGTCTACGTCTATGATGTTTGTCATGTGGTCATCGACAACTTGCAGTTCATGATGGGCCATGAGCAGTTCTCTTCTGACAGGTGAGTTCTTCCTGTCTAACTCCAACACACTTGTCTTGTCATGAAGCTGACCTCTAGGGACAATCATAGTCCTGTTACTTTCTGAGAGGTTGTGCAGGGGGAGTTGTCCAGGGACCTGAGTATGAGTCCTTAAGCAGAAGAGAGTGTAGTAGGGCTGGGATCGTTTGTATGGAACGACTGGCTCAAGAGTTTGTGTATTTTCCACCCAATAACTTCTTTTATTGCTGAATTTCATTGCAGGATTGCAGCTCAGGACTACATCGTTGGAGCCTTTCGGAAGTTTGCGACAGACCACAGCTGCCATGTGACTCTGGTCATTCACCCACGGAAGGAGGATGACGACAAGGAGCTGCAGACAGCTTCCATTTTTGGTTCAGCCAAGGTGAGTCGGCTTTCAGGCACTCTGAGGAGTTAGAGAGCAGGTGTACCTAGAGACAGTCTTCCTTCAGCCTTAGTTCCTCAGGACTGCCCTGAAAAAGCAGGAGGCAGCACTTCTGGGGCTGTGACATGAGGAATACATGGGCCAGGAATACAAGGGATCGTAGCTGGTTCTTTGCCATCTGGGAGCTCACATCTGTTAGTAGGGAAAAGAGTGACGTCATCATTGCAGCTCAGTGGGGTGAGAGCTATGATGGGCAACACGAATACATGGCGAGCAATCTGCGTCATCCTGTGACATCTGGGGAGACTTCTCGGTGGCTGTACCAGCAAGTCACTGAGCTTTCCAGACAGTAAGTATCAGATTATCAAATAAGGGAAGGCCTCCTGGGCCACAGGACCAGCTCCATCCCAAAGCCTCCAGTGGTATACTAAATTCCTTTTACATGTCAGGCCTGAGTTAGGCAAGGGGAGTTCAGGTTGAGGAGCAAAAATATATTGCTTTGGAACAAACATGGAACAAGACTAATGCAGAAGTTTAAAAAAGAAAATTAAAGAAAATTGGTGGTACCTTCTTTAGAGGATCAAAAGTGGTCCTTAGGGAAGTAACAGATGATTGGTAAGAATGTGCTGGGTAGATATAGGATAATCCACTATAGAGGAGAGACATTGCAGGCAGAGGGAGCAGCACAAAGTCTGAGACAGCGGCAAGCTGGTTACGAGGCTGGGATACTCAGCAGCTCTAGCATCAGCTGGGATTCATTGTTTAAAGAGCTTGGTGATAAGGGGTACTTTTCCCTTTCCCCATTATTTTAAAAAAAAAAAATTGTGTAGGGGCTAGAGAGATGGCTCAGTGGTTAAGAGTACTGATTGCTTTTCCAGAGGACCCAGGTTCAATTCCTAGCACCCACATGGCAGCTCACGCTGTCTGTGACGCCAGTTCCATGGGATCTGGCATTCTAATACATACCTACAGGCAAAATACCAATGCATATAAAATAAATATAAAGTTTAGAAAAGTTTGTTTAATGTGTATGGGTGGTTAGCCTGCGTGTTTATCTTTGCGTTACATGCATGTTGGTATCCGCAGAGGCCAGAAGGTGGCATTGGATTTCCTGGGACTAGAGTTACAGACATTGTGAGCTACCATGGTGCTGAGAATTGAACCTGGGTCCTCTGGAAAGCAGCCAGTGCTCTTAGCCACTGGATCATCTCTTCAGCTCCACCTTTTCCTATTCGTGCCTCTCCTCCCTGAACCCTCAACCTTCCTTTTACTTGTATGTCTTCTTTCTCCTACCCTCTCTCCTGCAGGCAAGCCAAGAAGCAGACAATGTAATGATCCTGCAGGATAGGAAGCTGGTGACTGGGCCAGGGAAACGGTATCTGCAGGTGTCCAAGAATCGCTTTGATGGAGATGTAGGTGTCTTCCCACTGGAGTTCAACAAGAGTTCTCTTACCTTCTTCATCCCACCGAAGAGTAAAGCCCGACTCAAGAAGATCAAGGATGACAATGGACTAGTGACCAAAAAGCCCTCTTCTGGCAAAAAAGGTGGTGGGCACCAGAACTCTGAGACTTGCTTAGACCAGGACCCCAGTCCCTACCAGCCAGATAGCACCAAGTCCTGAAGGTGAAAGCAGTGCACAGGAGCTTAATGGCCCAGGCTAACACACTCTTGGCCTTCTGCTAGGACTCCTCTCCCATATAGTCCTGAGCTGTGGAACCTTCCCAGCCTAGGGCTGGGTTCTGTGATAACAAAATTTAACTCGGCAGTTATTAGGGGCCTCCCATATGCTGGGTTTTTTTTATTGTTTATTTTTATATATAGCATGGAAAAGACAAGGTCTGTTTCCAAAGAACCAGCATTTTGGTGACAGGAACGAGGCAAAGTGAAGAACGCTAGACTGCTCCAGCCAGTTTTCGTTAAGCAGTCTAAAAAGGTGTGTGAGCAGAGTGCACGTGAGAACTGAGAGTACGCCCCGGGAGCCACTGGAGAAAGGATCCAGACAGAGAAGCATACTAAAACCCGAGGTGGGAGTGAGCAGGTCAGGAGCAGGTCAGACAATGAGGGCAGGCCTTGAACTGTCCTACAACAGAAGACTTCTTGCTGAAAGTCAGTGTCCAGGCATTCAGAGACAGAGTGATGCAGTGAACACCAAGTGCCTCTGCACTCTGCTCTTAGAGCCAGGCATGACGTAGCTGTACCTGTTAGATCTGATCCTAGGTGCTTATCCCTGTATTCTCGGCCTCAAAGACGGGGGCTTCCTCCCAGTGGACTGAAGCGCCATAGAACCATGGAAAGTTCTGTGAGCCCTCGGTGCCTGCCCCCTGGATACTGACTCCATTGTGTGCTGCCTCTGACAGCTGGAGTGAGGACTCTGGAACCTTCTCCAGTTTGAATGAAACATTTCAGTTGTCTTTGTTTCTGTGCCTTTTTTCCTTTGTCCACCAGATGTCTCCCCAAACTAACTCGATTTCCTCTCAGAACAGATCCTTCCCCCACTTTAGCCTTTCCCGTCCCACTTCCAGCCGCTCCGATAGCAGGGAGAAGTACAGGCTCTTCACATTCCACCCCTAAACATAGACCTTCCCTAGGCATAGGGAGACAGGGTGTTGTTTTAGCTTACCTGAGGACAGCATAACATTCCTGACCCCTAGTGTGGGTCAGTGGGCCACACACTCAGGCCTTGCCTGACCAGCTGTCCTTCCTCCTGAGAGCCATTCACATCTCTCAATGTAGACTCAAGAATGAGCCCTAGCTGGGTGTGGTGGTGAATGCTTTTAATTCCTGCACCTGGGAGGTAGAGGCAGGAAGATCAGGAGTTCAAAGCTCCCCTAAGCTACACAATTCAAGACCAGCCTGGACTACTAAAATCCCATCTCAAAAACAAAAAAGAAAAGTGGGCTTATTCTTGTCTCTAACCCTCTACCCTCGGTGTTTCCCTCTGGAATCCTCCCATTTCTCCCTGTGTGCTAGACTGGGGATTTGTTGAAAAATGCAGAGCCTGTTTCTCTCTCCCCTGTCTTCACGTTTGCTGTTCTGGAGTCTGTTGGGATGTGGATGCCCCAGTGTAAGGAGCACTACAGAAGACTGGAAGAGGTGACCCACAGACTGCCAGGCATATTGCTAAATGACCTTTTTATCTTATTTCCTCTCATACCCTGAAGTACCAATTTCAAGATGTTCAGATTGGGGGTGCTGGAAAGCCTCTGCTTCAGGTATAGGGGAGATAATTTTACTCCCTTTTCAAGTCAACCCAAGAGGAAGCTTTTAGAACTAGAGGGAAGAGTCCAGGGTTTCCTGAGAACTCTAGCCATAAAAAGCTGAAACAAATTTTTGCAAAGCTGTTGTTGGTGGGGAAGAACCTAGGGGTGGGGGTTGCTCTTCCAGGGTCTGCCTTCTTGGGGGTCTCTCCCAGACTGGCTGGAGCCAGGCCTCTCTAATCCTGCAGTAATCATTCCCAGCAGTTGGCTGCTCTGGGCCTCATCCAGGGTCTGAAATATTTAAGTCAGCCATGCCTTCCAGATGTACAGAACGAGACCATTTGTACCTCTAAGGGCATGGACTCCATAGTCTGTTCTTCCTAGAATGCCTGATTTGTTCTCAAAACCCTTCACTTGGGAGCTTGTGCGGGCTGCACAATCAGCAAGGAGAAACAGATACACACTTGCCTGTTTGACTTGCTCCACCCTCCAAGCAGACACCCCCACACAGCTCAAACCAGAATGATGAGGAGGAGGAGGGGAAACTAACACACGCGGTACACAAACACATTCCACCCCATACCTGCCTCAAACTCCCCACAGCGAGAGCTGACTCCAGGTACGTTCAGGAGCTGTTGGAGCCTAGAAGGCAGGAAGAGGTCAGTCCCTATGTCCTGCGTGTAAAGTCCCGAGGAGCCACTTTCTATCCACACACTTAAAGAAAGCGGCTTGAGGCAAACCACCTGGGACGAGACATGTGATTCTGTGTTTAGTTGACTTAAGAATGTCCCAGAGACCTGGACAGGTCTGGCTCAGAAGGGTCAAATTAAAACTGTAGCTGTTTTCAGACCGCCACTGTGGCACGGCTGTCAGGAGGGGCAGCTTTAGGTCTTCAGCAGCTGTTACTGGGGGTGGGTTTGAGAGGAGACCAAACTCACCTTGGTCTCCTGCAGTCCAACTACACAGTCAGTGGGTACAGCTCAGATAACTTTAAAGTTAAGCCTTTCTACAGTGTACCTGGTGTGCCAGGGAGGAAGGGAGCCATTGGTACCTCCCTGAAACACAGGCCAACTTCCTGTTTGTGCCTGTGGGTGGACCTTAGCAGTCTCAGGGAAGCCTAGCTATGCCCTATAGGGGGCCAACACAAGCAGTTTTCTCACCTGGCTTGATAACTACTCCAGAGAAGAGGGCTATTTCTGCTAGGACAGTCTCAGAAAGCCCCAGTGTGCGCGGGCGTGTGTGTATGTGTGAGTTTGTGTGTGTGTGGGGGGGGAAGGTTTATGAAACTCGAGAGTTCTTTGTCTGCCTCACAGGGACTTTCCCTCTTCTGGTTGTGGGCAGAGTGGACCAGATTGAGTTCCCTACGGAGCAGGAGAGGGTGACAGAGAAAAGCTTTATGGCTTTAGTTAAGGTAGCCAGGTAGCTTAGCCGTCGGTCATATCTGTTCTTCCCCCTAGGTCAAAAGTCAGTATGCTGTGCAGTCAAAAGGCCAGAGCTTAGACCACCGTCAGGCCTCTTTTGGGCTGGGTACTGGGTCGGACTACTTTTGGGTTGGTACTAGGTTGGTTGTTGGGGGTGCGGGGCAGACCACTCCCCTCTCTGGGTGGGGGGGCGCGGCTTCAGCCGCCCCGCCCCACTCTTCCAGGTCCGGCCTGGCGGGAGCCGGGAGCGCGGAGCCGGGAGCCCGGAGAGGACTGGAGATCCAGAGTTCTCTCGCAGCGAGGAAGTAGGCACGCTGGAGCCGGAGCCCGACCAAAGTGGGAGCAGCGGCGCAGGTGACGCTGGGTGAGTGGTGGGGTGGACGGGGTGCAGGAACTCCGGTCTCTCGCACATCCTCGCTCTGGAGAGAACTTTCCCCATTTTGAGAAACGGGACTGGGATGAGGAAGGGGTCCGCACTCTATGGAGCGCAGGCAAACACCTGAATAGCAAAGGGACAGCGAAACTCACACAGACGCACCAACATACACTCTTGCAGAGATCCATGCACTCGCCGAGGACGCGAACACACGTGCGCTCAGGAAAGGACAAGCAGAGCGAGATCCCGTAGCAGTCCCAGAGGCAGTGCCACCGGCCCGCGCGACCCCCGTAGAGGTGGACACTGAGTTTTTCTGCCCGAGGCTGAGGGAAAGGGGCCGCCCCGAAATTGTCGGCGGGGGCGGGCGGGGTTTGTCGCATCAGGCGGTTCCAGCTTCCCGGCCGCTTGCCTGCAGGTGAAGACCAAGGCGTAAACAGGCGCCGAGCACGTGACTGCTTCGCAGACCGGTGGGCAGTGCTCCCCCAACCCTGTCTAGGCAGGGATGCCCCTCTCATCCACCTCTCCCCCACTCCTGGCTTGTGTGTTTCGCCGTGTACAGGGCTTTATTCCGTACTTCACCTAGAATGGTGATAAATCCACTCACCCAGAATGGGAGCTTAACGCCCCCGGGGGCTTGGGTGGTACAGGAGGCCGGGAGACTGTTGGATGGGGTGGGCTTACTTGGACTCCTTGCCTTCCTCCTCACTAACACATTCTCGGAACCCGCATCCTTGAAAGGTATCCGAGAGAGGGCCTTGATGGCCCTGGACAGCTGCCCCGGTCTCATGGCCTCATACACCCAGCTCCGGGAGCAGCTGACCATAGGTCCTCTTCCTCCCACCACCAAGACCTGCGGGACTGGGCACAAAAAGCCCACCCATGCAAGAGGAACAGTTTCCTCTCGCCCCTCACCCCTCGCCACGGAGAATGCATAAGAGTAAAGATAGCCTTAAACCCTGATGGGAGTTTGCCTTCACTAGGAGGAAGAAGGACCAGATCCCCTTCTCAGAAAATGAAGGAGGGGGCTGCTGCCATAGGCCTCTCTCCCTTGCCGGCCCCCACCTTTCATCCCCCCCACCCCTCACCCCGCCACACGCTGAGCCCAGCTGCTGCCTGAGATTCTGGGCAGGCGGCCAGAAAGGGGAGGAGGCTCTCCGTGCCCCAGGAGGCAGGGATCAGGGCAAGGCCAGAGGCGGGGGTCTCTACTGGGGGAGAGGGGTTCAGTCTCTCCTTAAGAAGCTGAGGGACTGGAGTGAGCCTGAGGGTGGCTGGGCTGTGTTTCCCTTTCCAGGGAAAAAGAAAGAAAAACAACCCTTTCCATGGGAGCTAAAAATAGAGCTGAGAGCCGGCCAGGCTGTGGCCTGGCAGGGGGGGGGAATGCTTCTTCCTGGGGCTGAGCCCAGCTCTGGCAGGCCTTGGCCCTGGGGGGCGGGGGGGGGGGCAGCGGGGAAGGGAGGGTGGCCTTGCCAGAGGATGTGAATGTCAGCTGACCTGACCAGGTCACAGAGACCCCCTCAGGGAAAGTGGGTAGTTTGTGAATATGATGTAAGAAGTTGTCTGAGTGGCTGAATACCGCCGGCTCTGCATGGCAGAGGGTTGGTTGGGAGACTAAGTGTATTTTAAGACTGTGGCTGGATGCAGAGACGGTTGTGGAGGGTGCACGACAGGCATGAAGCACCAAGTCTTCTGCGAGTTGGCCCGAAGGATTATGGAATGAAGGAATATGGAACCACGTGATGGATGAGCCAGTGATTGTGGCTGCCTGAGACAGAATGTGGGAAAGGTCGTGTGGGTGTTAAGACTGTTGTTTTCGAAAGGGTAAAAATATTTGTGACCCTGAGAAAGACTTTGGGATGTCTGCTGTGGAGCCAGTGTAGGTTTGAACCATTCATTCTTGCGATTATTGGGGGCCAGGCCCCTCCCCTTTGAGCAGCGCGACCTTTCTCATAGCAGATGACCCCAAGTTAGGCTGGAGAGCCTGGAGCCACGCCAGGGACAAGCCTAGGCTCGCGGCCTGAGGGCGCTGCGCTGGGAAGGGAGTGGGATTGGTGGGGGGCTTTTGTGGGGGGGCGGTGGCTGATAAGTTGCTGGAAGGAGCCGCCAGGTGGCGCCGCTTCTGCAAATCCTAGTGTGTGACCTCCAAGCCTTCTGGGGTGGGACAGACAGCGACCGAGCCAGTCCCTCAACTTGTGCCCGGGAGCCGGCAACCGGAGAGGGACGGCTGACCCTCGGCCTCCTCTTGGACCGGGAAGCTGGAGACTGGGGAGGGAAGCTACGTCTAGAGAAGGGGAGGGGGAGGGGCGGGTGCCGCGCCTTGGTTCTTTGTGCTGGAACAATGACCAGCTGCCGCCGGCCCTCGGGCCCCGGCAGGGACAGACGATGACCCGCTCGACGAATCTCGAGCCGACCGAGTCACCCAACACAAACGCAGTTGTGGGTCCACTCTGGGAGGGATCCTGGGCGCCACCGTGCAGCCCCCGCGTGCGCCCTGGCGAGCACGCGTGACGTGGGGTGCTTGCGCGTCTCCGCGCCCCGGGGCGGGGACGCCCCTTGGACCCCTCCCCCGCTCCGCGCGCACCGCCCACTCGGGCCGGGCGGGGGCTGGACGGGGCCGGGGGCGCCGGCTAGGCGGAGGCGGGGCCGGGCCGGGCAGCTCCGAGTGGCCGCGCGCGGGCTGGAGCGGGCGGCGCGCCTGTGGAGTGCTGGGGCGGCCCGGGGCTGAGCATGGAGCAGCGCGGCGGAGGTGAGGGGTCCAGGGCTCAGGGTGCCCCAACTTCTAAGCGATGCGGTCTGGTGGGGAGGTGGCATTCCACAGACGGCCCCAGTTCATGGAAGGAGCGGACAGTTGTGGGTGGGCCGGGAGGGGGGGGGCTCCCGGCTTTCAGGCTCGGAAGGGGAACTCGTGATCCCAGACCGGATCCCGCTTGACTGGTCTCTGGAGTTTGTGTGTGTGTGTGTGTGTGTGTGTGTGTTGGGGGGACTTTCCCCAACTCTCCAACCCCCAACCCTGAGGTCAGAGAGTTGGGACCTGGGCCAGACTCGTCTCAGGCCTTGGCGCCGCCCCAGGCTTCAGGACCCCCAGCCCGCTGCGGGGATGGGGGGTGCAGGGGTCTGTGTACCAGAGTCATAGGTCAGGGAGTGCTGGGAGAACCAGGGGTTCATTTTTCCCACAACCACAAACGCATTTCTCAAAATGGAGCCGCTTGCCCCTCCTTCTCTCTTGGGCCTCAAGAGCGGGAGCCAGGCTGGCTAGGCCTGGCTTTCCAAACTCCTGACCCTCAGAGCCCAGCTTTACATCCCTCTGGCTTTAGGGGCCCTTGCCTGCGTGGCTTCGACGACCCTAACTCATGCTTCTGCCTCTAGCTCCCCATGCCTGAGCCTCTTGGCCTCTTTGTCTCTTGACTTCTGGTCTCTGTCTCTCCGAGTGACTACTGCGGCCCTTGCCCTTGCTTCTGGGTCTCACTCTCTGTGTACCCCGGAGTGGGGAACTATAAACAGAGGTGCCAGCGCATTCCCACTCTTCGCTCCACAGTGTAGACCCACTCTATCCCCGAACTGAACCTCGTGGGGGCAATCTCAGCTCCTAGCCCTACAGAGAGATGTGTGATTGCTCCTGGATCCAGTTCACTTACCACCCTAGCTCCCAGCAACTCCTTCCTCAGGCTGGACTTCTGTGATTCCCGGTGTCTTAAAACTTGGGGACACTTAATGGGGAGCAGTACTGAAGAGCCAGATGGGGCAATGGGGTCAGAACTGTGGGCTCACCTTTCCTCTCACCTTTAAGTTTGGGGGAGAGGGGAAGGTCTTAAAAAGGGGGGAACTGCTTCTATCCACCCAGGTGGTCTTGAATGTCACCCAGGTCCCAACCTCCCTCCAGGAATGCTCACTCATACAGATTATGCCAAATGTGCTTTTCACACACCGTCCTTTCCGTTCACGCGCTTGTGTAAGATATACACATAGTGATTCGTGTTACCGTCCTGGCAGAAATGAAGTTGTTCTATAGGGACATTTGTCTCTCAATCTTTGGGAGACAATGCAACCCAAAGGCTTGAGGATTTCCCTAGGAATCCCATACTGAGAGAAGAAAATGGCTATTGAGGCTGGGTGACTTCATCTGACTTGGGACATAGACTCCACTTTTGGTGATATTCACACAAAAACTCACATATATGTGAACAAACTGGTCTGTCTATCCAAACTTTTTTTTTTTTGGTCATATCGTCACATTCAGACCCCACAGATTCATTTGTTGCACATACATTAATACCTTTTGTGTACTTTCTAAGTAATAAAACTCAGTATTGTAAGACATAAGAAGTCATACATATATCTGGCTGTGGTTTTACAAAGTTTAGAATCCCAGGATTCTGAAAGCTGAGGCAGGAGGATTCATGAGTTTGAGGCCTGCTTGTGCTACATAACACAACTGTTTTAGTCGTGTCCCCCACATCACACACACATGTATGTACTGACAGCCATCTAAACACACATTCAGCCTCTGCATATTTCCACGCATGCTGTTCATTTTTATGTTCCTGTACATGTGCTCACACCCACAAGTAAGTGCACGCACTCTTATGGAATTCTCTGTCCCCTCTTGGCCCCTGCTCCACATGATGACTTCAGCAGATGCTTAAGTCTTGGTCATCAGCAGCCTTGGGACTGGGAGGGAGTTCCGGGTGGAGGCCTGCTGTCCCTTCCAGGAAGGGGCAAGCCTGGGGGAAGTGGAACCATCTTACTGAGATCCTCCCAGGGGTGGTAATGGGCTTCTGCTCAAATCCCGTAGGGGTGCTCTGAAGATCAACTAAAGCGGGAAGGTTTACACTTGGTGTAAAGGTGGACACTTGGACAGGCCCTATATAGGCTCCCTTAGTCCTAACTGAGTGGATGGCAGAAGCTAGGAGTTGTCATGGAAACAAGTGTAACCAGCATCAACCTCTGGGAGGTAGGAGACCCCAGAGGGCACCTGTGGGTTCCTAAGGCCTGTAAGATTTCCTGTTTGGCCAGCTCCACCCTTGCCGCCTCTGTGTCTGGGAGAAACTGAGGCCCAGCAGTGGGAGGCTGGACACTGCCTGGCTTTGGCTCTTTGTTCCTTAATCACCACCTGGCTGGTGATTGCATCCCTGACGTGTCCTCTGCCCAAACAGCCCAGGAATGAGGCCAGCTGTCCCAGGAGAGTAGGGGCCTGTACTAGGAGCTAGTAGTTAGGATCTCTGTCCAATCCGTGGCTTGACCTTCAGAGGGGAGGCAGATTTGGGCTTAAGACTGGGTCTTTCCTGGCAGAGAACCTGCATACCCTCCTAGGTCTCCCATTCCTTCATCGACTCCGGTTGAATTATTCCTTAGCCTTGTCCAGACTAGAGTTAGGAAGTGTTGCTGTGTTGGGAGTGCTCTGTCTGGAGGAGGGGGTCAGGAGAAGGCCTGTAGGGGGAGAGTACTCAGGTGCAGGGACTCTGACACCAATGCCCTGCTCGCAGGTTGCCCTGGAGGCCCCTGGCCAGGCCTGAGCCTCTGCCACCATGGCCATTGTGCACACTCTGCCAGTGCCACTGGAGCCCGCACGTGAGACAGCCACTGCCCCACAAGCTCCAGCAATGGGTAGCGTGAGCAGTCTTATCTCAGGCCGGCCCTGTCCCGGGGGATCTGCTCCTCCACGCCACCATGGTGTCCCTGGGCCCACCTTCTTCCGCCAGCAGGATGGGCTGCTACGGGGTGGCTACGAGGCTCAGGAACCACTCTGCCCAGCTGCGCCACCCAGGAAGGCTGTCCAAGGCACCAGCTTTACCTATATCAATGAGGACTTCCGGACAGAGTCGCCTCCCAGCCCAAGCAGTGATGTTGAAGATCCCCGAGAGCAGCGGGCAAACAATGCCCACCTCCGTGGGCCCCCACCAAAGCTCATCCCAGTCTCTGGAAAGCTGGAGAAGGTAAGGGCCAGTCCTCTTGGGAGGATCTGGGTGGAGTCAGGAGCCCCTTAGGGAAGCTAGGATTTGCATATATAGAGCAAAGAATGTGGGCTGTCTCAGCTCTCCTGGCTCAGGAACTATCACCCTGGCCGAGTCCCATTTCTGTGTATAGTTACTGTTATAGGCTAATTTTTGTAGGTTCCTGTTAGAATTAGTACTTAGCGTAGTACCTAGCACCTTCAAGCGAACGATATTAGTTGTGTTGATTATTTCTCTACATAGCCCTGGCTATGCTGGAACTTACTATGTAGACCAGGCTGGCCTCCAGAGATCTGCCTGCTTCTGCCTCCCGTCCCTGGATTAAAGGCGTGCGCCACAGCCAGCCTAGTGGCTTCAGCTGTTACTACACAGATGGGAGTGTGTCGAGTGTCTTTGGGCAGAGCCTTTAACTTTATCTCTGTTTCCTCAATATTTTGCTTGCAAGGCTCTTATAATGATTAAAAAAGACCACTTTGAATTACTTAACATAAGTGGACATTTAGGAGGCCTGTTGTTAGTGGGAACAATTGTTTTTACTTTATAGGGGTTGAGGGCCCTGTGTGGGAAGGGTGGAAAATCTGACAGGGTTTTGAAAGATCAAGGTTTGGGGGGGGGGGTTAAAGAGATGAGGAGATGGCCCAGTGGGTGATGTGCCTGCTGTACCGAGCATAAGGACCTAAGTTCAAAGCCCCAGCACCCACGTAAAGAGCTGGACATCACGGCTCTGGACTGTGAGGCAGAGACTCGCAGACCCTGGGACTTGCTGGCCAGTCAGTCTAGCTGAATTGGCGAGCGCCAGGGTCAGTCAGAGACTTATCAAAAATTCGGGAAAGCAACCAAGGCAGGCTCCTGACTTTCACATCTGGCCTCCACACACGGGCACCCGTGTGTGCGCACACACACGTGGATTAGCGTTTTGAAAGACCAAGCAAGCAAGCTGGGCTTGGTATCTCACACCGGTAATCCCACTCTTTAACAGGCAGAAGCCTTGCTTGTATTCAGGGCTAGCCCTGTGGATACATAGTGAGTTCCAGGCCAGTAGAGTAAAAACCCTGCCTCAAACCACTAACAAAAATAAAAAAAAAAAATTAAAAAAAAGAAAAGGACTGGAGAGATGGCTCAGCGGTTAAGAGCCATTGCCTACTCTTCCAGAGGTCCCAAGTTCAGTTCCCAGCAACCACATGGTGGCTCACAGCCATCTATAATGAGATCTGGTGCCCTCTTCTGGCATGCAGGCAGGACACTATACATAAATAAATCTTTAAAAAAAAGAAAAACAAAGTGATCGTGCAGATTAGCCTCACGTGTCACGTGGTCCCTCGTTTCAGAACATGGAGAAAATCCTGATCCGGCCAACAGCCTTCAAGCCAGTGCTACCCAAACCTCGCGGGGCACCATCCCTACCTGGCTTCCTGGGTCCTCGAGCTGCTGGGCTGTCTGGGAGTCAGGGCAGCCTGACACAGCTGTTTGGGGGGCCAGCCTCCTCCTCCTCTTCCTCTTCCTCCTCTGCTGCTGACAAGCCCTTGGCACTGAGTGGCTGGGCTAGTGGCTGCCCATCCGGGACACCGTCAGACTCTGGTCGCAATTCTTTATCCAGCTTGCCCACCTACAGCACCGGAGGTGCTGAGCCGACCACCAACTCCCCAGGTGGGCACCTGCCCTCCCACGGCCCCAGCCGAGGGTCACTGCCTGGTCCAGCCCGAGGGGTCCCTACTGGGCCCTCCCACTCGGACAGTGGACGATCCTCCTCCAGCAAAAGTACGGGTTCCTTGGGGGGCCGTGTAGCTGGGGGTGTCTTGGGCAGTGGTGCCCGGGCCTCCCCTGGCAGCAGTTCCGGTGGAGACCGCTCTCCGCCCCCTCCGCCCCCTCCGCCCCCTTCGGATGAGGCCTTGCTACACTGTGTCCTGGAAGGGAAGCTTCGAGACCGAGAGGCAGAGCTGCAGCAGCTGCGGGACGGTATGGAGGAGAGTGAGGCTACCGTGTGTCAGGTGCGGCCCAAGGCAGTCCTGGGTGGTGTGGTGGAGCATCCAGAGGCCGAGGGACCACTCTTGAAGCATTGCTGTCGGGGAGGGAGAGGATGGAGACCTTCTGTGACACCCCAAGGTTTTTAGCTTAACCTCCGAAGGAGTAAGGAGACAGGGTTTGTGAATTGGATCCAGCACTGGCTCGGAGCGTCTGTTGAAGCTTGAGCAAGTTTCTTAACCTCACCAAACCCCAGTTTCCGCGTCTAAATGGGGATAGTTCTGACTCCCTAGGGGGATTATTAGGAAGGGTTGTATTAGTGCTTGCTTTTACTGATGTCATAATACGCTGGATTTGTGTGCTCTTCCCTCCTTCAGCCCAGGCAGGGAGTCACCCAAGCACGAGAGGCTAGAGCTCAGGATCCGAAGCACCTGATGGTTTCTCGCCCGCCTTCTTTTCTCTAGGCATTTGGGGCGCGGCAGAGGCACTGGCCACGGGAGCGGGAGGACTGTGCAGCCCAGGCGCAGCAGGCCACACAGCGTGTCCAGCGGGCCCAACAGCTGCTGCAGCTGCAGGTGTTCCAGCTGCAGCAAGAGAAGCGCCAGTTGCAGGATGACTTCGCACAGCTGCTGCAGGAGCGAGAGCAGCTGGAGCGCCGCTGCGCTACCTTTGAGCGGGAGCAGCGGGAACTCGGGCCGCGGCTGGAGGAGACCAAATGGGAGGTACGCAAGATTCGGTGCTGGGCAGGTTGGACGGGCCACACTCTGTGACCCAGGGGAGCTACCCTAGAGGGTCTGCACTTCCTCATCCTTCTGGGTTGGGATTTTCCTGTGCCTCCATGTTGGATCTCACGGGTCTGGTCTGGTGCCCACAGCGCTAGTGGCATTGCCTTCTCTATTAGGCTGGTACTGTCAATACCTCCATGAATGAGGAAACCCGAGTCAGAAAGGGCTGGAGCAGGAACTGGGACGAGATACAAACCCAGGCAGCTGGTTTTTAATGCCTGTTCTTACCCAAGGTGCCTTTCTTCCCCACTCCACTCCTGCAGTACCCGGCCTCTCCCGGCCTAGGCAGTGCCTAGGTGTCAGGATACCAGCATCGAAGAGAGAGGATCTGGGTTTCTTCTCTCCTTTCGCCTCTTACTAGAGTGTAACTATGAGTGTGTCACTAGGCTCGCATCCTGCTGGGCCTCTGTGGAAAACAGGGAGATAGCATCTCCTCTCCTTGAATGCCCAGCGTGGTACCCAGTGCTCAATATCCAGAGAGGCCTCACCGTCCTTCCTCGCTACTCTCTACCCACAGGTGTGCCAGAAATCCGGTGAGATCTCCCTGCTGAAGCAGCAACTGAAAGAATCTCAGGCGGAGCTGGTACAGAAGGGCAGCGAGCTGGTGGCGCTGCGCGTGGCCCTTCGAGAGGCCCGGGCTGCCTTGCGGGTCAGTGAGGGTCGGGCCAGGGGCCTGCAGGAGGCAGCCCGAGCTCGGGAACTCGAGCTAGAGGCCTGCTCCCAGGAGCTACAGCGGTACCGCCAGGAGGCTGAGCGGCTCCGGGAGAAGGCTGGGCACTTGGATGCTGAGGCAGCGGGACTCCGGGAACCCCCTGTACCCCCCGTGGCCCCGGCCACCACTGACCCTTTCCTCCTGGCAGAGAGTGATGAGGTTAAGGTGCAGAGGGCAGCAGCTGGGGCAGGGGGGAGCCTGCGGGCTCAGGTGGAACGGCTGCGCCAAGAGCTCCAGCGGGAACAGCGGCGAGGAGAGGAGCAGCGCGACAGCTTTGAGGGGGAGCGGCTGGCCTGGCAGGCGGAGAAGGAGCAGGTGATCCGCTACCAGAAGCAGCTGCAGCACAACTACATCCAGATGTACCGGCGCAACCGGCAGCTGGAGCAGGAACTGCAGCAGCTCAGCCTGGAGCTGGAGGCCCGTGAGCTTGCTGACTTGGGCCTGGCTGAGCCAGCCCCCTGCATCTGTCTGGAGGAGATCACTGCCACTGAAATTTAGAGCTTTGCAAGGGGCGAGCCACAGGACCACCTGGGTCCCCGGATCCACTGAGCACTCCAGGTCCCAGAGCCAAAGGGCCTCTGCCAAGCGTTCGGGTGGCCTTGTGACTTGAGTTCCGTTTCGCTGTCACCCAGAGGCTCCTACCCATGCCACCATTTCACTCCCCGGCTGTCAGCGCCACTGCCAGCCTTGTTTGCCCACAGATGTTTGCGGGGCTACCCCATCTCCACATTCTACCTGCCTGAAGCCAGAGAGAGCCAGATGGCACCAGCTGCTCCAGATGTGCCTGCCCCCAACATGCCCACGAGGAGGGGCGGGGCTAGGACTGGGGTTTGATCCCCGTGTCCAGCTCTGCAAGCCCCTTCTGGGCTGAGGGGGCTGAAGTCAGACCAAAGGAAGAACCCAGCAATGTCTTGTTTATTTGTGTTTGTGACCAAGCAGCCCCTCCTGTTACCAGGTTTATGGCCTCGTTTTCACTTGTATATTTTTCACATGTAAATTTCTTGTACAAACCCAAAGAAAACATTTAAAAAAATTGTTTTTTTTAAAAAAGTATGCTGGATAAAGAACCACAGGGAACTTGTTTGACATCTGTCCGGGAACATCTGTCCCCTCTGCTTGCTGGCTCCTCATCGACCTCATGAAGTTCTTGCAGGGAGGAAGGGTGATAGGGCTAACCCAGTGGAGTCAGAGGTCCTCGTGGACCAGAACCTGAGTCTTAACCAGGTTTGAGGAGTTAGAAAAGCTTTCCATCCTGTTCTTTGCACTGAATGCTGCTTGAAACTGGGGAATGGATGCAGTGACCTCCTTGAGGACACTCGGAGTATGGAAAACCAGAGGCATCATCAGCCTCACAACTTCAGACTTGAGGTTCTCTGTCCCCTCACTGTGAAGCGGTCCAGGACCAGGGAATGCAAATGACACACAGTTGCCCACTAGAACCTTGTCCTTGGACATCCGCCTCCAAAGGCCAGAGCCTTTCTGATAGCCGCAGTGGGTCAGAGCCACGGTGTACTCCCAGCAGGCGGGCAGATAGGACAAAGGGGCCTGGGTATTTCAGGAAACCTGGAGGCAGCAGTAATTCTCAGGGTCAGTAGTGGGAAGGGTCATGGGAACCCTTAAGAGGGGAGAGTTTGGAGGTGCTGTGAGGAGCCTGAAGGGCTGGGCTGAGAGTCTGCTGTAGTTTGCCCAGCCTCAGGGGGTGGCAGCTGGGCTGGGGTATTGTCAAGGGGTCCATGGGCAGAGGAATTGTCAGCGGGAAGGCTCTGGTCCTTGAAGGCTAATGAAGCAGAGGATAAGGGCAGCAGGCCAGGCCCAGGGACCCTGACGACAAGCTCCATAGGCTCCCGAGCCTTGTTTCTGTACGCTCTGCGGATGGTGTCCACAGCTCGTTGGTGGGTCACCTGCTCCAGACTCTCTCCGTCCACTGCCACCAGCTCGAAGCCAGCCTAGCGTGGAGATAGAAGAGTCAGCCTCCCACCATCCCCTCCTACCCACCACCCAACCTGAAGGCAGTGGCCTTTCACCTCTGCCAGCTAGGACACTCCTCTCCCATCTGGGTGCTGGGGATGGACAATAGAACTTTTGTGCCTGGAGCCGTTGGGGGCAGGGTGGGGCACAGACAATGGCCCTTTGTCCCTTGGGACTTGAGGTGGAACAGGATGGGCCATTCTCCGGCCCAGGCTAGAGTGAGGGGAGGATTCTTCTCTAGGCCTGGCCTGACCCCTCTGCCCCCAAGCCAACTCCTACGACCTGGTCTGAACATGCCTGGCTGGAAGACAAGAACAACCCTGTACCCTTCAGTCTGGGCCTAGCGAGGCTTGGCGCTGCACCCACCTGCAGGGCCCCGCAGAGGAACGCAGCACCTCCTGGGAAGATCTTCTCTATCTTCACCGTGGGCTGCACCTTGGACTCGATACCCCCAGAGATGCTGATGCCTGGGGAGGGTGCAGAGCACAGAGTGGCAGCCTCACCCCAAACTTTGAGCTCCCAGGAAGAGCAGGGAATCCCATCCTCCAAATCAGCCTTGCCTTCTTCCCACCTCTGGGCTCTGTCTCAAGTCTCAGCCTCCAAACCTAGATTCCCCAGCTACATACCTTAGTGCTCAGATTTCTTTCCTGGTCCCCCAGCTTCCTTCCTACCCACCCTGCTTACCCGGTGCTACCCTGACTCACCCAAAGACTGCTTCATCTTAGATAGCGTGACTGTCCTCAGCTCTCCAGTGGAGGCTTTCCTGGTCGTCTCCTCGGCCATCCCATTAACTCCATTCTCCAAGGGCCCTTGCCTGGCTTCCACTTTGGCCTCCTGCCCGTCCAGAGGTCGTGGAAGCGAGGGCCTTGCCTTCCGAGGCCTGTGGTATCGCCCGTTGGCTGTGGTGGCAGTGGTGATGGGCGCTGGGGATGGGGAGCTCCTGCGCCCAGGGGACTTGCCTCGACCCCGGCTGCGGCTGCGACTGCGGCTTTGGGCTGGGGTCTGGCTCTGGTTCTGCTGGACCTCCTCTTTACTTGGGGGTTCTGTCAGTAACCAGTTAGGCCTGGGAGGCCGGGGAGCCACAGGAGGCGGCTGGGGAGGGGGTGTACATGCACTGCGATGAGGAGAGAAGGCATCGACTGGTACATCTTGTAGAGGGGGGATTCCTTTATGGTGGTGGCGAGGGGCAGAGGCACTGAGAGAGACCTTAAGGCCCCCCAGCCTCTCCCGGATCTCGCCATGGTCGTCCTCTGAGCAGTCATTCACTGGCAGCAAGTAGAAGCCTCCGCGGCTGTCTGGGGAACAGGGTCAAGGTTAACTTGCTCTTCTTAACTATCAGTTCCAAGATACCTTCCCAGACCCTCCCTGGTCCTCCTTTCTGCAATCTGTAGGGTTCCCGGGTGTGTGTAAACAAGGCCTGGATTTGCTCAGGTCCATTGTAAAGTGTCCATGATAAGCGACACTACTCTCTGGGGGCAGACGTGACCTACTGCTAATAGTGTCCTAGCACGTTGTATCATAATACACTTTAGCATAGCCAAGAAACCCGATTTAAAAGTGTGTGATCTTCAAATGCTCTCCACACGGCCAGGATGGCCTGGAGAAAGGCCCTTTCCCTCCTACTGCTCAGAGGCAAGGATGGAAGGCCTGCTCTCCCTGTTCCAATGTCCCCAGGGTTGTCCCATTTCCCCAGGTTATGGGACTCTGACTGACCAGGCACAGGGGTGATGAGGTGACGCTTGGGTGGCGTGTCTTGCCTGGTTGGTCTCAAAGCAGAAGGCCGAACTGGTCAGAGGGGACAACAGGTTAGAGGCCGGGCACTCCTGCCAGGCTCTGGGATGGCCATGCCAATGGGCTCAGCAGCATCAAGCGCCCCTCCCCCCAGCCCCGACTGGAGCTCAGAAGTCGGAAGTCCTGCCCCAGCTGCTGACCTGCCCTGCTCTTGAGAGCCTCAAAAGCCTCCAACTCCACGGGCATCACCATGCTATCAAAGCGGCCGAGGTCCGTGGGGGCCACCACACTCCTGAGGAAGGCAGGGATGTGGGGTAAGCAGGGCTCGGTTCTGGAGGTGTGGGCATGGAGGAGCTTCATCCCTGGGGTCACTGGGGCTTCTTGCCCCTTCCCTTTCCTCAAGCCCCACCCAACCTGATGTCCCTCAGCAGCAGCAGCTTCTCTGGCCTGTCCAGGATGGCCAGCAGGGGGCGCACCAGGTCCTCCACGCCACCTTCATGGACATACTGTGTATAGAAAGAAACACCACGGCTTAGATAGCAGCAGCAACTACTGAGCTGAATGCAGGAAAACAGGGTGCACGGGGACGCTGGGGCCCATCTAGCCATCCTCACTCTAAGATAGGGTCACCCTGTCCAAGGTTTGTAAGATGTTAAGTCAATGACTGTGGATCCCTGTGACGATCAGCAGCAGATCTGCAACAAATACCAACAGCAATCATGGTGTCTAGACAGGCAACTTTCTAAACCTTTTACATACAGTCTCTTATTTAGTGCCCACTCTGAGATGATTGCTGTTTTACAGAGGGAGGAACTGAGACTTCGGAGAATTTGCTCAGAGCCGTGCAGATAAGGAAATAGGAGGAAAGGCTGGAACCCAAGACATCCAGCTCTTGCTTGTTCTGGTGCGGGGAAATAATGTGTAGTGAATAGATTTTCCCTCTACCCCCTCACCCGGGCAGAAGGAACGGGAACCCAACACTAGGTTGTGCTTTTGGCTGTCCACCCTTTGTTCGGAGCTGGAATGGTAATCTTGGGGAACGGGTGGCTCCACAGACAGCCTCTCTAGTCAATAACCTTCTGCCTGGCACCGCCTGGATGCCACCAGCCCGGATGCCACACCCCATGGATTCTAGAAAACTGAATACTGGGAGCCAAGTCACTTGGGCAGCACACTGCCCCCTGGTGGTGAAAGGGAGACAGCTCCAGAGAGACCCATGGATAAGTTACCTCGTATGGGCATAGACACAGAAATAGCAGGCGCTGTGGTCATCTGAGTGAATCATCAATGAATATTTAGGGATAAATAAAAAAGTGTGTGTGTGTCTACACACACGGTTACAGCGACTCAACAATACGCTGCCGTGTGTGCCTGTCCCTCAAGGCCACAAGCATGAATTCAGCGTCTACTGTTAGACCCCGGGTGGCAAAGGAAGCAAAAAGAGCCTCCAGGACTCAAGTGGCAACAGGGACAGATAAGCCTCATTCAGCAGTAGCTGTAAACCACTGCCGTGGGGCAATGAGAGCTTCAGAGAAGGGTGAAGGGTCAGAACGAGCCTCTAGGAAGCAGTGACTCTTCCAGACTAGATGCCCCGAGCAACGTCGTGGAAGTTGCAGAGGAGAGTGTGCTAAGGATGCAGAACACCGAGTAAGCAGAGGTTGACTGTGGTGTCGAGGGCCCACGAAGACTTTCCTATAGGGCTGCCCGGGCTGAGCTCTATGTCAGGAGCACCCCTAAACTATGCAGCTTATAATTTATATCAGCTGTGTGGTGACCCAGGAACACTGGGGGTAGGGGTTGGGGTGACACACTGTAGAAGTCCTAGAAGGTGGGAGAAAGTAGTTTGTACTCAATTCTGCCTCATAAGGGAAACTGTAAAGGAGTAGGAAAGGTAGCTTGTAATTCCGGGCCTGGTGAACGTGGAAGGATGGCTCAGACAGGTTCGGGGCTGCACACGGTAGTCACCGGGGAATGTTGCCTATCTCTCAGCCCTGGGCTCCATTTCAGAAGGCATTACTGTGGGTGTGGATCATATGTAGAGCCTACAGGGTAAGTAGAGTCATGGTGAAATGAAGTCCTGGTTTGAAGAGGGCTGGAGGAATGGAGGAATAAGGAAACGTGCTGGCCAAAGATACAGACGCAGGGCCCCTCCTAGTGGTCAGAGTTCAGCATTGCAAGCTCTCACGAAGCCCACTTATTGTTCAGAATTGAGAGTGGATTTTAGCCCAGAGCTCTTGACAGGAACCTCCATCAGCATTTCTGTTGTAAACCAGGCCTTAGTAATGTGTGAGCAACCCCACCTTAGGCTTCGAGCGAAACTACGTGGGCACATACATACATACGTGTTAGGCACAAACAAATGCCTACAGGCAGGCCAACACA